CAGAAAAACAAAAATGTGTGCACAATGAGAGACCGGTTGCCTTGGGTAGGGGAAAAGTTATACATACCAACAACCCAAAGAGTCACTTGCATGCAGCTTTGCCATGACAGAAAATCAGCAGGGCATTTTGGATTTGTAAAAACTTTACACTTAATTAGACGGCAATTTTGGTGGCCATCAATAAAAAAGGACATAGAAAGTTATGTGGCCAGCTGCCCAAAATGTGCATCTGCAAAGAGGTTGCAAGGGAAATCGCCAGGACTATTACAACCAGTGGCAAATCCCTCAGCCCCCCGGAGGGAAATAGCTATGGATTTTATAATGGAATTGCCAGAAAGCAATGGGAATACTGTTGTCTGGACGGTCAAGGACTTGTTTTCGAAACAGGTGCACTTTATCCCTTGCCAAAAGATTCCCACTGCAAAGGCCTTAGCAAAACTTTTCATCCAGCACATTTACAGATTACACGGGGCACCCCAACGCATCATCTCTGATAAGGGAGTGCAATTTACGTCTACATTTTGGAAGGAATTTTTTTCCCTCTTAGGGACCACTCAGGGACTGACATCTAGCAATCACCCTCAGATAGATGGACAAACGGAACGTTGTCATTCAGTACTTGAGCAATATTTGAGATTTTTTTTGAATTTCCAACAAAGTGATTGGACGGACTTACTCTCTTTTGCAGAAGTTGCCTACAATAATGCAGTCCACTCCAGCACAGGTTACACTCCTTTTCAAATAGCCACCGGTCAAAGTTTCAACCCCATGTCAGAATTAACCCCAAACAAACCAACGATCCCATCACTGAAAGAATGGATGGAACAATTACAAGACACCTGGCCAATAGTTAGAAAAGCACTAGATGAAGCTAGGCAGGCATACAAAGCACAAGCTGATAAAAAAAGGGTTGCGCCTACACCATTCATTATAGGTGAAATGGTGTACCTATCTACAAAATACCTAAAGTCCCTACAGCCCTGTAAAAAACTTGGACCAAAATATATAGGACCTTTTCCAATTAAAAGAATCATAAACCCAGTAATCATAAACCCAGTAGAATTAGAATTACCAAAAAATCTCAGGCAAATACACCCAATTTTTCATTGCAGCTTGCTGAAAAGAGAGCGTCAATCACCTCTATGGCCAAAAATCCCCCACCACCCCTCCAATCATGGTAGAGGGCAAGGAACACTTCGAAATAAAGGAAATCCTTGATTCTAGGAGATATCATGTAGCAACTCAGTACCTAGTTGCCTGGAAACACCTCCGTCCCTCACAAAACGAATGGGTCCATAAATGTCATGTCAGAGCCCCGAAGCTATTGAAGAAGTTTCACACAGAATACCCTAACAAGCCTGGCTAACTTTTATACCTGTTTTGTTTTCTTTCAGGTGGATCTGTCGTATTTTTGAGGGGCAGGATGTCAAAATCCAATTATAATTCATCTCTAGTTATCAGTTATAAAAAAAACCCATTTCTGCCTTCTCTGGATTCTGCCATACGGTGAAGGGAAGGGGGTGAACAAAGGGGCTTTATGGCCCTAACTTCCTTCGGTACACTTCAAAGGAACTACTTTTGTGTATTGCCAAAAGAGCTAACCATAAGAATGGGACTATTATCTTTCATGTAGTTTTCTTTGAAGTCTCCATCCAGCCAGCAGTAAGGAAAAGGGGGTGGGAATGTAATGCCTGAGACTGGAAGTAGGGGTGATTGGGTGGGGCTACTGGGGAACCCCTTAAAACCTTGAATGGGAGAGCTTGGACCCCAAGTCCTGTCTAGAACGACTGCAACCATTTTCTCTTAATAAAGGATGCCTGTTGGAAGAATTATTCCAAGAGTTCTGTCTTGTTAAGATGCAAAGTGGGGTGGGTCCTTACACAAATGTTGTGTTTGTACCTCCATGTACTTCAAAGTACTTTTTTGCTTTCAAATCCAAAGCATAGCATACTTTCATGCCTGACATTTGGGGCAGAAGTTTTTAATATCAGGTACTTTAGCCTGTCAAATCTTTGAATTCTAATTCTAATTCTATATTACTATTATGAATTTATAAATATTTTAATTGTCTAACAGCCATTGCAATTTTATTGATACATAATTTGTGCTGTTTTACTCTGTAAAGATGATCCTGCTACATTGTCTGGGTTCATACAGCCCTTTAAGCCATAAACAAAGCAAATCTTATGATGGCTTAAGTAATTATCACTGTTTGTACTTTCCATGTTTTTTCCTTTCTAACCACTATCTCTAGTCATGGGTATAATATAAAGTATTACTGTCTCAGGCAGTATGCTATTTCCAAAAATGTATGCCATAATATATTTGTTAATCTATAGGTGCAGAAGCTCTTTTGTTGCTATGATCAAATATGATAATATCTCTGAAAATGACTCACTGTAAGGAATGTTTGCAGATATGAGTATACTCAGAAGAACCACTTGGTGGCACCAAAGGCCTAAAAGTGAATCAGTTAATTAGAATATCAGAGCATAATTGCACTTTATATGACTTGCTATATTAATTTTTCATGGTGCAGAAGTTCTAAATGTCATTTCCAACTCTAATAACATATTACAGTCATATGGGTTGTATTATATATTCAATCTATATGAACATAGAATTCACCAGCGAATTCTCTTGCTTTTATTAAAACTATATGCATAAATCATAGAATCAGGACAGTTGGAAATGATCTCAGAGGTCATCTAGTTCACCTCTCTACTTGATGCACTATCTACTAAGCAGGGGAACCCAACCCCCAGTCCATGGACCGGTACCGGGCTGCAGCATGCCAGCAGCCAGTCTGCACAAACAAGCAAAGCCCTATCCGTGGGATGCAGGCAGCACACAAAACCACGCACACTCTGGTCCATGTAAAAACATTTCTCCACAGAACCAATCCCTGGTGTCCAAAAGGTTAGGGACCTCTGTATTATAGCATTTCAGGAAGATAACTATCCAATCCTCCAATGAAAAAATACCTACCTCTTCATAAGGCAAGCTATTCTACTGGTTTATAACTGTTTATAATGAGAAAATTCCTTCTTTCTATTTAGAGCTAATATTTACAGATGTAATTAGTGTCTCTGCTCTAGTTATTATGGACAATTGATCTCATGTATATTTACTCAGAAGAAAGAGCAAATGTATTCTGGTATTCTTATCTTAGAAATGTATCTGGGACATATATTTATTCATTCCATTTTATATTGTCGAATCTACCAGAAACTCACACTGGGGTACAACTAGCAACTATGTATTTATAATCCAATCACTTAAAACATTGCAAGAAATAAATTAATTATAATTAATAACATTTTAGCAACTGCATTAAGTCAGTGCTTTCCAAAATTACTGTATGTAAAAGAGTTTTTCTTTGGATAATGGCAACAAACCCATTACCTAATCACAACAGGGGCATTTAAATTGGTTTAAAGGATTTTACCTATATAGAGTAGAAAGAACTTTCTGAGAAGTAGTTTGGAAAAGAAATGTTTGGGAAGCACTGCATTAAACAAAAAAACAAACAATATAGCAAATATAACAGTAAGGGCAAAATCAGAACATCTGTCAGAATCCAATTATACTTCATCTCCAGTTATCAAATATAGAAAACCTCAATTCTGCCTTCTCTGGATTCTGCCATAAGAGGGAGAGAAGGGGGAGAACAAAGGGGTTTTATGGCCCTCACTTCCTTCAGTAAACTTCTAACGAACTGAATGTGTGTATTGCAAAAAAACTAACCATAAGAATGGGGCCGTTTTCCTTTCATGTAGTTTCTTTGAAGTCTCCATCCAGCCGAGCAGTAATGAAAAGGGGGGTGGAAGTGTAATGCCTGAGACTGTGGCTGAAAGAGGGGGTTGATTGGGTGGGGCTACTGGGGAAACCCTTAAAACCTTGAATTGGAGAGCTTGGACCCCAAGTCCTGTCTAGCACGCCTGCAACCACTTTTTCTTAATAAAGGATTCCTGTTGGAAGAATTATTCCAAGAGTTCTGTCTTCTTAAGATGCAAAGTGGGGTGGGTCCTTACATTAGACAGGACTTGCAAAATTAATCCACCTGGAAGAGAGACCCTTGCCGGGGGATTTTGCAAAAATTTACCATGTCAGACAATGGAGCAAGAGAGGGGGAAAACTCCCCAGAAAGAGAGCCGCTGACCAAATTGGAACCTTGCCAGATGTTGGGATCCGAGAGGTCAGATTCCTGAGGAGAAGAAGTGGTGGAGACACGGGACCACAAGCCTCGCTGGTCTAGAGGTGGTACAGCAGTTAGAGTGCAGTACTGCAGGCCACTTTAGCTGACTGTGTTCAGCAGGTCAGCGGTTCAAATCTCACCGGCTCAAGGTTGACTCAGCCTTCCATCCTTCCGAGGTAGGTAAAATGAGGACCCAGATTGTTGGGGGCAATGTAAAATATATATACATTGCTTACTGGTGTACACCACTTAGAGAGTGCTTGCACTTAAAGCGGTATATAAGTCTCATAAATAAATAAATAAATAAATAAATAAATAAATAAATAATAGTTTCTTTGAAGTCTCCATCCAGCCGAGCAGTAATGAAAAGGGGGGTGGAAGTGTAATGCCTGAGACTGTGGCTGAAAGAGGGGGTTGATTGGTGGGGCTACTGGGGAAACCCTTAAAACCTTGAATTGGAGAGCTTGGACCACAAGTCCTGTCTAGCACGCCTGCAACCACTTTTTCTTAATAAAGGATTCCTGTTGGAAGAATGATTCCAAGAGTTCTGTCTTCTTAAGATGCAAAGTGGGGTGGATCCTTACAACATCAGTCAATGTTCTCTGGAAAAACTCTGTCGTCGTCTCCTAGATAGACATTAGAGAAATAGCCATCTTATTTGTAAGGCAATAGAAGACAGAGTTATTTTTAATTAATGCCTCTTTTGGAAGTACTCAGAAGTAATATTGAATTTGCACAGGACTTCTAGCATGTCAGCCTTTGTTCTAATGCTTCACTGTTTTTGATCTTATTGTTCCTTCAGGGACCGTGTCAAGAAGAACTGTACAAGGCACTGGATAAGTTGGCAAAAGCACAACAAACAACTGGAGGACAGTTATACAGATTTTATTTACCCAACTGTAATAAAAATGGATTTTATCATAGTAAGCAGGTAATTTGGAGGGTAGGGACTGGGAATATTTCCAAGCTAATGAAGGATGATATGGTTGATTATTTTATTCATTGAATGAAACCTGCTCAGAAACCCTCACTTTGAAAATGATAGAAATCAAACCTCTCCATCCCACACATACTAATTCAGAAATGAAAACCTTTTTCTTTTTGATAGAACAAAAGCAGACTATTCAGAGTTAGATACCATTCTAAGGACATTACATTTTTTGAAGCAAAATGTCCATGGGTCATATGATACACCAAAAGCAGATTTCAAAAGCAGAAATCTTTGATTTGCAACAAATCTCATAGATGATATAATATATAGTACTGTAGTACTATATTATTATATTATAGTACTATAGTATTATAGTACTATAATACAATAATGATAACAGATGCAAATAGACTCTGGATAGAGTAGACTGTCTACTTATTTTGGTAAGAAAAAAAGATGGAAAAAGTAGAACAAATTTTCTGCTCTGAGGGAACAATTTCAGTTGTATATTTTAAGACAAAAGATCTAAATCAGTGCTTCTCAACCTGTGGGTCGGGACCTCATTTGGGGTCGAATGGCCATTTCACGGGGGTCGCCAAACAATGCACTCTGCCATTTTTCCCCCCTTTTCTTTAGCTGTGCCATTCCCTTTTATTCTATTGGCTTTTGAAAGCCAATAGAATAGACTCTCTTGAATAGAGTCTAATTCTATTGGCTTTCAAAAGCCAATAGGAATTGTCCAGGCTGTCTCTGCCCTGCTGAGCCCGCCAAAAGTCCCATTCTGCAAACGGTGCTGCACCAGTTGAGTAGTCCTCGACTTACGACTGGTTGAGTAATCCTCGACTTACGACTGGTTGGGGTCGCGGCATTAAAAAGGTTGAGAACCACTGATCTAAATGAAGTAGAGAAGCTCCCATAAGGAGCACCGGTTCTCTATTGAGAAGGAGGAACGAAGTTCACAGAATTGTAAATGATCCTATGCATTTTTATTTTTATTTTTTTTATAAATTTTTATTTTTAACCAACAAGACAAAAGAAAACAAAGCAAAACATAAAACACATACACACACAATATATACTTCTCCTTTTTTATAGCAATTACATAACAGTAATCTAATATTTACATTTCCCCCTTATTCTTCTTTAAATATTTGTCCTTATAGCCCCATTATTTCTTATTTACATTTTTCTTCCTTCATGTTATATTTCTTACTAAGAATAATTCATATTATTATTATTATACATTATTGTACACATATTTTCACTTTTGACCTTTCCATATTTATTCTCCTCTATTATTTCTAGTCTCCAACCAGACATACACCTTGTTCCATACTATATAATATTCTGTGTCTTCCTTTTCTTTTATCTCTTTTGTTAATTTGTCCATCTCAGCACAGTCCAGGATTTTTCTTATTACTTCTTCCTCTGATGGTATATTCTCATTTTTCCAGCACTGTGCATATGCTATTCTTGCCGCTGTTATTATATGTAAAATTAAGTACCATATTTCTTTACTATATTTTCTATTTAAAATACCCAACAAAAAGATCTCTGGTTTCCAGTCTACAAGTTGGTCTATTATTTCTTGGATCCATTTTCTTATTTTAGACCAGTATTTTTTTGCAACTGGGCATGTCCACCATAGATGATAATATGTTCTGTGTACTTTTTTACATTTCCAACATGTTGGCGAATTATTCTGGAACATCTTGGCAAGCTTTGCAGGTGGAAGATGCCATCTGTAAAACATTTTAAACTGGTTTTCCTTGAATGCCGCCAACATAGTCAATTTTATATTTATTTCCCATATTTTTTCCCATTTCTCCAATTCTATATTATATCCAAAAATTTTTGCCCATCTAATAATTGTGTCTTTCACAACCTCATCTTCCATTTTATATCTCAGTAGGTATTTATAGAAATTGCTAATTAATTTTATTTCTGTTCCATGTATAATTTTATCCAATTCTTGATCCTATGCATTTTTAAAGCAATTTATTTATAGTATGATAATGCTAATTTAATATAAAGATCTGGCACAATGTTATACATATTACATGAACAATTAAAAATCATGATTATTCAGCTAAAAAAAATCTTTAAATAGATTTGCTTGAAAATTTCCTGTATTCTCCCCACATACATGCACATACGTATACACAAAATTTAAAAATCCAGCATTTATTTCTGAATAACTGTATGTGATTCAACCTTATGGCCTAGTGGAATATCTAGTGTAAAGTCAACATACACTCTTCATTTACATGAAATACCTTTCTTATTTTCAATCTTTTGGGAAGTTTCTCTGTATCAATTCAGCCAAGAAATAACAACAGAGCAAAGAATTGCCTTTTTTAGAGACTAGACAAAGTACACTGATTTTCAATGTCAGTTTGGGAATAATTGGATTAAATACAATACAGATGAAAAAGATTGAACTACATGTAATGTAAAAATGACAGTAAATTTTACCTGACTAGGAACTGGATAAAAATTGTTCTCCAATAATTAAACTGAAAAAAATCCATATTTACCTCTTTTAATATGCTTTTAAAAATTCCCTTAGTGTGAAACTTCACTTGATGGAAATCCTGCAAATTGCTGGTGTGTGTATCCAAAGAATGGAAAGAGGATTCCGGAGTCTCCTGAAATGATGGGCAATCCTGAATGTGAACAATTTATTAGCTCACAAAACTAATGAACAAAAATTGCACAAATGTGTGTTGTATTTTTGCAAACTGAATGTTACTTGCATTTCTAAGGCCAGAGACACCTTGGTTAACAGAATTTTAAGCATGTGATTAGACAACAATGTGCTGTTAAGTATGCTTTTTGGGAAGTCCCAGTGATCCCAATTGGGCTGATTGTGTTCAAATATACTGTCAGATTTCCTGCTTTGCAGTTCAGATTCAAAACATTTAATTCAAGGAACAAGAATCTAGCAGTTCTGATTAATAATATTTATTAGAAGGAAGGTTAAGTTCCAAGAATTTTAGCAAGTACGCAACTTTCAAATAAGAAACCAACATTTAATATCAGTCTGTTTTTCAACCTTGGCATCTTTAAGTTACGTGAAGGGCTGGAAGCATGTTTCTTTTTTATGAAAGTAGGCTGTTCAGCATCTTGCATAGTTTTGGTAATTGCTAGTCTTTTTATGAGTGAATAGAATAGTTGTGTTAAGAGATTATAGCACTGTGGTCAGCATTACTGGTGGAATGGGGATTCTTGTCCTCTTATTGTATTCTTGAAAGTTAAGCAATAGTTAAATAATAAAGGGGGGAGATTATGGACTACACAATATGAAGTTCAAAGATTATTGAATTATTTATTTAACATGTATTTTTATTTTGTGTATTAATTTATGTATCTGTATTTTTCAACACTTCAAAACTTGTATGAAAACATTTTGACATTTTCTCTAAGAATATGTAGTGTCCTGTTTTCAAACAGTACAATATATTATTAACCTCATTTGCAAATATAGTGAATGAGGATAACAGAGTTCAAGCATTTATTTTCAAAAGTGTGTATATGTGTATTATGTTGTTGTTTTACTTCATATTGCTTCTCATTTTATCATCAAGGAGTTCTCACTCTGGATAATGTTATTAAGGAAATGTTCTTCAGAAATATAAAAGACACCTTAAAAGGAAAGTTGTTTCTGTTTAATAAACACAGTTTCTTTACAAACAAGTATAAACAAACTAAAATTAAGAAACTGTAATGTACATTTATAATAAACATTTATAAGTCAGCTTTATGATGTTATTTAAACATTTATTAAACAATTTTATTTGAACCCTATCCCTTTTTTGTTCAAGTTTGGTTGACCCTAATTCAAAGTTTGTCCTTCAGAACTGTTTTGTTATAAATTATTATTTTCAAAGAAGTATCTAGAAAAGTTTGGTCACATACACATTTTAATATGTATGGAATTAGTGTCTCTGGCAACACACAGATGCAGTGCAGGTAACACCTAATATGTTTCCCCGAAAATAAGACCAGGTCTTTTTTTTTTTTTTTTGACCTCCAAAAGAGGTACCAGGTCTTATTTTCGGGGGGGGGGGTTATATTTTATACTCACCTCCAGCACCAACAGCCAAACCCAGCTGGTCCACTTCTGTGGCTGAAGGAACAGCTTCATTCTGCAGATTGGAATGGAGCTTTGGCCTGCATTTTGCAGTCAGGCCTTTCCAGAAAGCCACAGAAGCCAAGAACCGAGCTATGGATTGAATCCGTAGCTTGGTACTTGGCTGCAGTGGCCTTCTGGAAAGGCCTGTTACTGAGAAATGCAGGCCTGTGGACACTGGAGAAGAAGTGGGCCAGCAAGGGGAGGCCTGGTTGCAAGGGGCAATTCCACACCCCCACCTACCCTAGCTTGAGTTTTAGGTATGTGCCTCGCCCCAAAACTATGGCTTATTTTTGGGGTAGGGCTTACATTATATCCACCCCCCAAAATCAAGCTATGGTTTATTTTTTGGATAGGCCTTACTTTCGGGGAAACACAATATGACAAATTTCTTTATATCTCTGCTAGAAAATGCTTAAATCATACATTTTGAGAATAAGACAGAAGGAAATATGCAAATGTATGCTCTTTTGTCCCAACTCTAATTTAGTATGATATAAATGAAAATGCTCAAGTCTATTTTACTTGACTATGCACTATATGGTTGTTGCTTCCAAAGCTTATGCAAATTGAATGGATTCAGCACCACTGATGACAATCTCCTGATTCCCAGTGCAGGAATAAAGTGTTCTTCATTTACCTCCCATTTACCTCAATGTCTGGTTGAACACAAGTATAAATGGGGTGGCCAACAAGATGTATCCTTAGTCTGATATAGTGAGACTAGCCTGATGACAAAAGGAGACTTTGATCTACCTTGCAGAGGGGTGCAAATAACATAAACACCTGGAGGGTTAAGAACATAGAATAATGGAATGGACCTTCTTGTCCAACCTCTTGGCTGCAAGGTAAGCAGGTGTGGGGGACATGAGACAGATCCACCACCATCCATGCCCACCCTAGCTTGATTTTTAGATGTGTGCCATTGCAGACAAATGCTGGTCTGATATCTTCTTGAAAATTTGAGTGATGGAGTATTAGCAGTCTAGGACTGCATTGGCTTTTTTGGCAGCTGCAGCACACTGCTGGATTTAAACAACATTAAGATTTGTTCCAATAAAGATAACAACTTTCCTTTCAAAGACTTTCCTTTTAATTATTTTTTGTATTTTAATTATTTTAATGTATTTTTTTTAAGTTTTCAAGTTCTCATCATACTCCAGTACCTTACTCAGACTGACTAAGGACAAAGAACAACTTTCTACCATCTGAGTTCTGTTGTTCTGTTACCATCCAAATATTTTATTTTGCTGTATAGTGTCCGCTTTATTGCAATAACCCTCATGGAAAAGAATGTTACTCCAAATACTTAGGTTGATGCATACATCTTTGATCAGACTTTCTCTGCTGCTCTCAAAGCTGAACTGGAGTTCGGATGTCCTGGAAAATTTACACAATTTGCAGTAGTGGCGAGTATCTGTAGCTCGGGTATAGGATGAGGATGAAGGTTCATTCTCTAAGCTTGTCGGTTGGTTTCTGAATGTTTCATTACCAGGTTAGGTAACATCTTCAGTGGATATTCCCTAAACATTGCTGAAGATGTTACCTAGCCTGGTAACAAAACATTCGGAAACCAACCCACAACCTCAGAGAATGAAGCTTTACCCTCATTTACATAATTTTTTCTAGCAGTAAGTGATGGAATCAGACAAGATCAGTAACTGTTTAGCACAGGAAGGTTACATTTTCTATCTCTTTTCAGAGAATTCTTTCAAAGGCTCATGGGGATGCTTGTTCGAGGCAACTGTCATTCTGAATTATTAAGTCCAGTTGTAAGGACCCACCCCACTTTGCATCTTAAGAAGACAGAACTCTTGGAATAGTTCTTCCAACAGGAATCCTTTATTAAGAGAAAATGGTTGCAGGCATGCTAGACAGGACTTGGGGTCCAAGCTCTCCCATTCAAGGTTTTAAGGGGTTCCCCAGTAGTCTCACCCAATCAACCCCCCTTCCCAGTGATAGTTTCAAGTATCACAATTCCACCCCGTTTCTTCTTTCTTCCGTCTGGATGGAGACTTCAGATAACTACATGAAAGGCAAATACTCTTCTTTGTTAATGCTAATGTTCTCTGGTGTTAACGCTTTGAGGTTACAATAGGTTACAATAAACACACATTCAGCATTCAGCTCTTTGAAGTCTACTGAAGGAAGTGAGGGCCATAAAGCCCTTTGTTCTCCCCCTTCTCTCCCTCTTATGGCAGAATCCAAAGAAGGCAGAATTGGGAGTTTCTATATTTGATAATTAAAGATGAAATATGATTGGATTCTGACATCCGGCCCCTCTTAAAAATAAGAGAGATCCACCTGAAAGAAAACACAAGTATAAAATTTAGTCAGGCTTGTTAGGATACTCTGTGTGAAACTTCTTCAATAGCTTCGGGGCTCTGACATGACGTTTATGGACCCACTCATTTTGTGAGGGAGGGAGGTGTTTCCAGGCAACTAGGTACTGAGTTGCTCCATGATATCTCCTAGAGTCAAGGACTTCCTTTATTTCGAAGTGTTGTTCACCCTCCACCATGATTGGAGGTGGTGGGGGGGGGATTTTTGGCCGTAGAGGTGACTGATGCTCTCTTTTCAGCAAGCTGCAATGAAAAATTGGGTGTATTTGCCTGAGATTTTTGGGTAATTCTAATTCTACTGTTACTGGATTTATGATTCTTTTAATTGGAAAAGGTCCTATGTATTTTGGTCCAAGTTTTTTACAGGGCTGTAGGGACTTTAGGTATTTTGTAGATAAGTACACCATCTCTCCTATAATGAATGGTGTAGGCTCAACCCTTTTTTTATCGGCTTGTGTTTTGTAAGCCTGCCTAGCTTCATCTAGTGCTTTTCTGACTATTGGCCAGGTGTTTTGTAATTTTTCCATCCATTCTTTCAGCGAGGGGATCGTTGGTTCGTTTGGGGTTAATTCTGGCATGGGGTTGAAACTTTGACCGGTGGCTATTTGAAAAGGAGTGTAACCTGTGCTGGAGTGGACTGCATTATTGTAGGCAACTTCTGCAAAGGGGAGTAAGTCCGCCCACTCGGTCTGCTGGAAACTAAGAAAACATCTTAAATATTGCTTAAGTACTGAGTTCATTTTTTCAGCCCCCCCATTTCCTTGAGGGTGGTGGCTAGATGTCAGTCCCTGAGTGGTTCCTAAGAGGGATAAAAATTCCTTCCAAAATGCAGACGTAAATTGCACCCCCCTGTCAGAGATGATGCGTTGGGGTGCCCCATGCAATCTGTAAATGTGTTGGATGAAAAGTTTTGCTAAGGCTTTTGCAGTGGGAATCTTTTGGCAAGGGATAAAGTGCACCTGTTTGGAAAACAAGTCCGTGACCGTCCAGACCACAGTATTCCCATTGCTTTCTGGCAATTCCACTATAAAATCCATGGCTATTTCTCTCCAGGGGGCTGAGGGACTTGCCACTGTTTGCAATAGTCCTGGCACTTTCCCTTGCAACCTCTTTGCCGTGGCACATTTTGGACAACTGGCTATATAACTTTCAATGTCCTTTTTCATGGATGGCCACCAAAATTGCCGTTTAATTAAATGTAAAGTTTTTACAAATCCAAAATGCCCTGCTGATTTTGTGTCATGGCAAAGGTGCATGAAAGTTACTCTTTGAGTTGTTGGTATATATAACTTTTCCCCTATCCAAGGCAACCCGTCTCTCATTGTGCACACATTTTTGTTTTTCTGGAACCAATCATCTGTTTCCAAACTTTTTCTGAATTCAATCCCAGTTTGGCTGTCCAGTTGTGGTTTTATTTTGGCTTGGGTTCTTGTGGTTACTGGTGCTGCCAGTTGTGACTCTGCCATTATTGGTCTAGAGTCTGTGGTTCGTGCGCTGTTATATTGGGGCATGCGAGATAGTGCATCTGCCAGGAAGTTCTTTCTTCCTGGTAAATGTTTGAGCTTAAATTGGAATTGGTGAAAATGCTGGGACCAGCGGGCTTGTTTGGGATTGAGTTTCCTGGAAGTTTTCAGGGCTTCCAAATTTTTGTGATCAGTCCACACCTGGAAGGGGATTTTGTTGCCTTCCAGGAACTGTCGCCATGTGAGTAATGCCCAACGTATCCCATAAGCCTCCTTCTCCCATACGGGCCAGCGCTGTTCTGTTTCCGTGAGTTTCTTGGATGTATATGCACAGGGTTGCAATACTGCATCATCATTTTCTTGTAATAGCACAGCCCCCACTGCCACATCACTTGCATCTGCCTGTATTATGAAGGGCTTGTCCATGTCTGGGTGCCTTAGTACTGGTTCGGCAGAAAAAAGTCTCTTTAGTCTCTCAAACGCTGCTTGGCACTCCATTGTCCATGTTAGTGGCTGGCTAGGTTTTACTGAGGATGTTCCCTTCGTTTTTAGTAAGTTGGTGAGGGGCAAGGCTATCTGTGCAAATGAGGGGATGAATTGGCGGTAAAAATTTGCAAAGCCCAGGAAACTTTGTAGTTGCTTTCTTGTGCGGGGTGGTGCCCATTCTAATACTGCTCTGACCTTCTCTGGGTCCATTTCAATGCCCTGTGGGGATATGCGATAGCCTAGGTAGTCTATCCTTTCCTGGTGGAATTCGCATTTTGAGAGTTTGGCATATAGGTGAGCGGCTCGCAGCTTCTTTAAAACCGCTCTGACAAGTTTGACGTGTTCTTCTTTTGTTTCGGTAAAGATAAGAATGTCGTCCAAGTAAACAAGGACCCCCTTAAACAGGTGCTCCCTTAGAACGTCATTGATTAATTGCATAAAGACTGCAGGGCCCCCTTGTAATCCAAATGGCAAGACTTTGAATTGATAGCACCCCATGGGGCAGTTAAATGCAGTCTTCCATTCGTCCCCTTCCTTGATTCTC